AAACCCACTCCACACAGAAACACCAACTGACCCGTGCTGTGAGGCCACAGTGCTAACCACTGAGCCACCGTGACTAAAACTAAATATATAAAAACTAAATAAAAAACAAAACAACAACATAACAACTAAACTAACAATGAAATGAACTGAAACTGAACTGAAATGCGCAACAAATGTGAGAATAGTGGTGAAACAGAAGCGCAGTGGTGTCTGCGGTGCGGGTTTTGCTGGTTTTCTGGTCCGTCTGTTTTGTGCAGGTGCAACAATGGCTTATTTTTATCCTAATGTTACGGAGCGACGGGACGGAAACTCACAGACAGAGCAGGAAGTAAGGCCTCTCTTCTATTTCTGCTTCCTGTTGGCTCTCAGAACAGAAATAACTCTCTCCTTGAGGAAGAAGTTGGTAAAGGATAATATGCTACAGACAGACAGACAGACAGATAAGCGTAGTCAGTCGTGTCTTCGAAGTAAGTGAAAGCTCCAGAAGGCTTCATCCTGCCATTCAGAAGGGCACTGTTTTGTCAGATGGCTCACCGGTCAGGTATACATCCCCGCTAAAATATCAAGGTGAAAGTCATCATAGCTTGTGTAGAATAGACCCAGATCCCAACCCAACCTTTTTTTATTGCCCGATATGAGTCTCGCATTAACGCCGCACTAATATATATACATGCATACATATACATTGCTCAGCATACACCACTCACAAATCTATCTTTTAAATTTAGATTTTTATTAAATGATTTATTATATTATTATTATACTATATAATTATATTATTTATATACAATATAATATTTGTGCATATACATTAGCTTAGTCAGCACTGAAGCTAAATCTGGAGCTAATATAACAAAATAAACCATAACTCTTCAAAAACTAGTATAGACAAATGTATATTCTATAGAGAAATATTACAACTAGTTCAACATTTTTGTATGTAATGACTCAAATGATAAAATGAGGAGTATTAGTTTTATATGAAATGACAATTCAGCAATTACAAGTTTAGTTCATTTGACTGACATGACATAAGCAAATGATAATGTTATAAACAGCAGAGAGTTGTGTGAAAGCAGTTGATGCATGTCTAAAAGCATTCGCAATTTGTTGAAAGGAATGAGAAACTGCTACTAGGATGTGCACAAATGATTAATTGTTTTGAGAAATGCATGACCTGTTGTGCAAATGTAAATAGTGTAGTGAGAAATGCACCAAAGCCACTGAGAAAAACTGTAATCAGGGGTCGCCATAGCGGAATGAACCGCCAACTTATCCAGCATATGTTTTACACAGCGGATGCCCTTCCAGCTGCAACCCAGTACTGGGAAACACCTATTCACACTCATTCATATGCACACACTCACTCATACACTTCGGCCAGTGTAGTTGATCAGTTCCCCTATAGCGCATGTGTTTGGACTGTGGTGGAAACCGGAGAACTTGGAGGAAACCCACGCAAACACGGGGAAAACATGCAAACTCCACACAGAAACAACAACTGACCCAGCCGAGACTGGAACCGGAGACCTTCTTGCTGTGAGGCCACAGTGCGACACCACTGTGTCGCCTGGTCTTTTAATATGTTATATTAAATGCATTACATCATATTCCAGTACATCTTTATTTATTTATTTATTTAAATTCACTCCCTTAAATACTGAACAAAATGCTCTGAAATTAAACATTCGCATATTTTATTATATTTGCTGCACTAATAGAAGCATCGAGCCCGGATTCTGTGTGTTACGGTGAATTTACCACAGTATGAGCTCTGCAGAGATATACTGGGGCATAATGAGAGCGTGTGGATCTTCACTGCAGTGTTGGAGCTCTTGGGACGTGTGGATGTTTCTCATGTCTGTGACCGTGACCTTTGACCTGAAACTCCAGATCTGTTCGTCCGAGCGCTCATGGGAAACACACAACATCCACAAACACACTCGCTTCTGTCCCTCGAGATGCTTAGTCAAAAGGGAAAAATGCACTAATAACACACACACATACACACACACACACACACACACACACACACACATGCTGAAGTACGTTACATTTTATCTACAGATCATTTCATCCCATGGTTTGATTATCCTTGCAGTTTGACCATACATTATTACAGAAACAACCCATAATACTCCCAGCCCAATGTATGTAGTTTGTGTATCTGTTAAAGGTATTAACATCATTTAATAATACTTTATTTATAAATATTTAAATGTATTTATTTATGTAACGTCGTTATCTGTAATATCTTACAAGTAAACCAAGAATGGCATTTTATTAGTTTTAATGGTTTTAGATTTTATTATTTTTATTTATATTGTGTGTGTGTGCGTGTGTGCGCGCATGTGTGCAAAACCACTCAGAACACCTTAGCAACTCTATGTAATAGCAACCACTCAAAACACCTTAGCAACTGCATAGCAACACACTATAACCACTCAAAATACCTTAGCAACTGTATAGCAGCATCCTAACAACCACTTAAAACACCTTAGAAACGGCATAGCAACACACTAAAATCACTCAGAACACCTTAGCAACAGTATATAATAGCAACTGCACAAAGCTCCTTAGCAACTGCATAGCATCACAATGAAACCACTCAACACTCCTTAGTAACTGCATAGCAACATCCTAACAACCACTCAAAACACCTTAGTAACTGCATAGCAACATCCTAACAGCCACTCAAAACACCTTAGCTACTACATAGCAACACACTGAAACCACTCAAAACACCTTAGCAACTGCATAGCAACACACTAAAACCACTCAAAACAACTTAGCAACTGTATAGCAGCATCCTAACAACCACTCAAAACACCTTAGTAACGGCATAGCAACACACTAAAATCACTCAGAACACCTTAGCAACTGTATATAATAGCAACTGCACAAAGCTCCCTAGCAACTGCATAGCATCACAATGAAACCACTCAACACACCTTAGTAACTGCATAGCAACATCCTAACAACCACTCAAAACACCTTAGTAACTGCATAGCAACATCCTAACAACCACTCAAAACACCTTAGCAACTGCATAGCAACATACTAAAACCACTCAAAACAACTCAGCAACCGCACAGCAACATACTGAAACCACTCAAAACACCTTAGCAACTGTATATAATAGCAACTGCTCAAAGCACCTTAGCAACTATGTGGCAACACACTAAAACTACTCAAAACATCTTAGCAACTGTATTGCAACATCCTAACAACCCCTCAAGACACCTTAACAACTGCATAGCAACACACTAAAACCACTCAAAACACCTTAGCAACTGTATGGCCACATCTTAACAACCTCTCAAACTACCTTAGCAACGGTCTATCCTAACAACCACTCAAAACACCTTAGCAACTGCATAGTAACACACTAAAACCACTCAAAACACCGTAGCAACTGCATAGCAACATCCTAACAACCACCCAAAACACCTTAGCAATTGTATATCCTAATAACCACTCAAAGCATCTTAGCAACTGCATAGCAACACTCTAAAATCACTCAAAACAACTTAGCAACTGCATAGCAACATCCTAACAACCACCCAAAACACCCTAGCAACGGTATATCCTAATAACCGCTCAAAGCATCTTAGCAACTGCATAGCAACACTCTAAAACCACTCAAAACAACTTAGCAACTGCATAGCGACATCCTAACAACCACCCAAAACACCTTATCAACGGTATATCCTAATAACCACTCAAAGCATCTTAACAACTGCATAGCAACATTTAAAACCACTTAAAACACCTTAGCAACTGCATAGCAACATCCTAACAACCACCCAAAACACCTTAGCAACGGTATATCCTAATAACCACTCAAAGCATCTTAACAACTGCATAGCAACATTTAAAACCACTTAAAACACCTTAGCAACTGCATAGCAACATCCTAACAACCACCCAAAACACCTTAGCAACGGTATATCCTAATAACCACTCAAAGCATCTTAACAACTGCATAGCAACATTTAAAACCACTTAAAACACCTTAGCAACTGCATAGCAACATCCTAACAACCACCCAAAACACCTTAGCAACGGTATATCCTAATAACCACTCAAAGCATCTTAGCAACTGCATAGCAACACACTAAAACCACTCAAAACATAGCATAGCAACCAGTCAGAAGTGCTCTGAGTTTCATCCACAGATCATTTCTTCTCACGGTTTGATTAGTCTAGCTGTTTGACCCACAATTATTCCAGCCCATAATAATCCCAGCCCATGCGTTTCCTTTCTTTCACTGCAAACACAATGAATCTGGAATAAAGCGGCGGCGGCTGTTGTCGTGACTCATGACTGCAAAACAGACGTTTAGCTCAGTATGTCAGTGGTGTTGTAGAAACTGCAGAAGTGTGTATGATATCCCACATGCACTTATATAGTCGTAGTTTCAATAATAATAATCTGTAACTGATTATTAATGTCAATATATATTTAAAAAATAATAATTATAATAATTATCTGTACTGTTTGCATGTAAAACAACACATTACATCGTTTTATTGGCTTTTTTAGGTTATTAATTGTTTTGTTTATAATGTGTGTTTGTTATACAGCTGAAGTGTGTGTAACCGAGAGAGAGAGAGAGTGTTTGTGTGTGTGTGTAACACAGGGGGTAAGAGAGCATGTGTAGCAGAGTGTGTGTGTAACAGAGAGAGTGTAGCAGTGTGTGTGTATGTTAGTGTAACAGTGTGTGTGTTTGTGTGTGTGTGTGTGTGTTGATGTTGTGTGTTTTCTGGGGTCTTCCGCCGCGGGCTCTGACCTCTGTGTTTATAGACTGCCAGCAACATCCTCTCGCAAAATAAACAAGTGTGTGTTCTCATGAGCGTCAGCCGGTCTGTACTGGAGGATGAAACGTGTGTGTTTGTGTGTGTGTGTGTGTGTGTGCAGACGCTGATGCTCTCTAGCGCCTCCTGTCTGAGTGGCAGATGAACATCATGACCAGACACACACCACTGCTGCTGCTGCTCGCAACACTGCTCAACACACAGGTGAGTGAGTGTGTGTGTAACTCAGAAAGAGAGTGCATGTGTCAGAGAAAGGGTGTGTGTGTGTAACCGTTGCACTCACACACCCTGTTACACTGTGAGAGTGTGCTTGTGTGTGTGCGCATGCATGTGTGTGGTGGACAGTGGTGTATGTTGCTGTTCATCATGTTTTGGATCTGCAAAAGGCGGAGCAGACAAACGTTATTAGCTTTCTGTTCATCACACGAACAGTACACAAGGAGCTTTTGGTTTTAACAAAATTAAAATCAAGTAATACCCGGCTTTTTAGATTTAATAAGTAATAATAATATTAAATATTTAAGTGTAGCATGTGAAAAACAGCTTTCAGCTACTGTTGTTGATCCTAAATGTGTTCATTTAACATTATACTGTAATCTTGTACAACAACAGCACATCATTATATAGATTTTTTTGTCTCATTTTTAGTTATTGAATTAATAAATCCCTCATTAAAACGTCATGTTGATTTAAAAGATCATTTTTGAAGAATTATTTTAGTGGGATTAATTTTTGATTGCAGTTTGTCGCCACCTTTTGGCTTAATGATGCAGTTGCTGCAACCTCCATTTCACACGACAAGTTGCTTTTAAACGTTGAATTAAATTTCATAAACACTAGTGTTTACACTCACCGGCCAGTTTATTAGGTACACCTGTCCAACTGATCGTTAAAACAAATGTCTAATCAGCCAATCACATGACAGCAGCTCACTGCATTTCAGCATGTAGACATGATCAAGAGGATCTGCTGCAGGTCAAAGTGAGCATCAAAATGGGGAAGAAAGGGGATTTAAGAGACTCTGAACGTGGCATGGTTGTTGCTGCCAGACGGGCTGCTCTGAGTATTTCAGAAACTGCTGATCTACTGGGATTTTCACGCACAACCATCTCTAGGGTTTACAGAGAATGCTCCGACAAAGAGGAAATCTCCAGTGAGCGGCAGTTCTGTGGGCGCAAATGCCTTGTTGATGAGGCCAGAGGTCAGAGGAGAATGGCCAGACTGGTTCCAGCTGATAGAAAGGCAACAGTAACTCAAATAAGCACTCGCTACAACCGAGCTCTGCAGAAGAGCATCTCTGAACACACAACACGGCCAACCTTGAGGCGGATGGGCTACAGCAGCAGAAGAGCACACCGGGTGCCGCTCCTGTCAGCTAAGAACAGGAAACTGAGGCTACAATTCACACAGACTCACCAAAACTGGACAATAGAAGATTGGAGAAACGTTGCTGCTTGATGAGTCTCCATTTCTGCTGACACATTCAGATGCTCGGCTCACAATTTGGCCTCAACAACATGAAAGCATGGATCATCCTGCCTTGTATCAGCGGTTCAGGCTGGTGGTGGTGGTGTAATGGTGTGGGGGAGATTTTCTTTGGGTCCATTAGTACCAATTGAGCATCAACGCCACAGCCTACCTGAGTATTGCTGCTGACCATGTCCATCCCTTTATGAGCACAGTGTCTCCATCTTCTGATGGCTACTTCCAGCAGGATAATGCAGCATGTCATAAAGCTCAATCATCTCAGACTGGTGAACATGACGATGAGTTCACTGTACTCAAATGGCCTCCACAGTCACCAGAGCTCAATCCAATAGAGCAGCTTTGGGATGTGGTGGAACGGGAGATTGGCATCATGGATGTGCAGCCGACAAATCTGCAGCAACTGTGTGATGCTATCATGACAATATGGAGCAAAATCTCTGAGGAATGTTTCCAGCAGCTTGATGAATCTACGCCATAAAGGATTAAAGCAGTTCTGAAGGCAAAAGAGGTCCAACCTGGTACTAGTCAGGTGTACCTAATAAAGTGGCCGGATTATTTCTCTATATGAGCACTATATCTAATATTCCTCTTCACTGGTTAACCAGTTTAATGTGATGTTGCAGGTGTGCCGCTGTGATGATGGAGTTTTAGCAGTGATGATGTCAGCAGAGGAGGTGACCGATATTCCAGCATCCTCCTCGGATTTTAAAGTGACCCGCGAGGAGATCCTTTCAGCTCAGTTTGAGTGTTTCCTCAAAATCATGCACGACCCCCCGCGCACTGATCCGGGTGAGAGACGGTTACATCAGTTACAGAAGTAACACAGCTGTAGCGTGCTAAAATTGCTGTCTGGGGATTTGGTGGACGGTCCTAGCAAGCACTTTTAGCACCCTAGCAACTGCATAGCAACCAGTTCGAAACTACATAGCACCTCAAACATCTTAGCAACTACACACTAACAACCATGAATGGAGTCCCTGCTCATTAAGGAAGTTGATAATGGTTTAATGAACAACTAACAAAGGTGTCGCTCAGAAACTCTAATATAATTATTATCTGATGATGGCTTGAGCTCTCGCTGGTGTGGAGTTTAAACTCCCAGTATGCACTGCTGTGAGAGTGGAAAAGGCCACTGTTGACTGTGAAGGACAGGAAGTGATGTTTAGCGTCTCAGAGTTTGTTTCCTATGATTGTACACTGGAGAGTCGTAAGGAAACACTCATTCTCCCACTTCAGTCTCCAGTGTTTCTGCTTTAGATTCTGATCCACCTCGGTAAACTACCATAAATATATAGACAATGCAAGTGTTCACAAGAAACCTAAATATAGCCTAAAAGTGAAATTAATTTGTTTAACTTTCTTGACATGGACATTACAATTACACTGGAAAATCCATGTGCGTTTGTTTAAGTGTTCTAGCAGACTTGATTATTTTCAACACCTGTCCAAGGCAAAAAAGCCTTAAAAAACCCCCACAATAATTCAAATTACATTTAAAAACAATATACATATACACATTGGCATAATTTTATACACACAATCTTTAAGGCAAAAGCAGTTATTAGGTGCAGTGTTTGTATTTTATTAGACACCTGCTCTCTCTCTCCCTCCTTTCCTTCCTCTACCTCTGCAGGCCCGTACTGTAACCGCACATGGGACGGGTGGCTGTGTTGGGGAGACTCCGCCCCCGGCACCGCTGTCCAGCTGTGCCCCTCCTACTTTCTGGACTTTGATTCATCCGGTAGGCCAATCACATGAGAAAATTAAGGAAATAGCACAATTGAAAAATGTTGTTACTTGTTTTTTTACTTATAAAACACACTTTTGTGTTTTTTGTGTTTTTGTGTTTTATGATAAAAAATCCAATTAAAACTTAATTTTAATATGAAAAAATTGCATAAAATGATGGATCGAATAATGTTGAATATAAGTAAAGTTCATTGCATGGTGAGAATCTTTCGTCTTTGTGAACCTCATGTTATCAATAACATTTACAAACAGCTTTGTTTTTAGACGTGTTCTGACTATTTACAGTAGAGACCCCAGAACTGATTGTTCAGTCCCACAAGTTTGAGTCCTGCTCCTGCAAGATTCAGTCCCACAAGATTGTCTTATTCCTGCAAGATTCAGCACTGCTCCTGCAACATTCTGTCCCGCAACATTCAGTCTCGCTCCTGCAAGATTAAGTCCTGCAAGATTCTGTCTCTTTCCCGCAAGATTTAGTCTGGTTTCCGCAAGATTCTGTCCCTTTCCTACAATATTCTGTTCCTTTCCAGCAAGATTCTGCCCCTTTCTTGCAAGATTCTGTCCATTTTCCACAAGAATCTGTCCCTTTCCTGCAAGATTCTGCCCCTTTCTCGCAAGATTCTGTCCATTTCTTGCAAGATTCTGCCCATTTTCCACAAGAATCTGTCCCTTTCCTGCAAGATTCTGTCTCTTTCCCGCAAGATTAGGCTGGTTCCCGCAAGATTCTGTCCCTTTTCCGCAAGATTCTGTCCTGCAAGATTCTGTCCCGCAAGATTCTGTCCTGCAAGATTCTGTCCCGCAAGATTCTGTCCTGCAAGATTCTGTCCCGCAAGATTCTGTCCCTTTTCCGCAAGATTCTGTCCTGCAAGATTCTGTCCCGCAAGATTCTGTCCTGCAAGATTCTGTCCCGCAAGATTGTGTCCCTTTTCCGCAAGATTCTGTCCTGCAAGATTCTGTCCCGCAAGATTCTGTCCCTTTTCCGCAAGATTCTGTCCCTTTCCTGCAAGATTTAGTCTGGTTCCTGCAAGATTCTGTCCCTTTCCTACAAGATTCTGCCCATTTTCCGCAAGATTCAGTCCTGCTCCTACAAGATTCTGCCCATTTTCCGCAAGATTCAGTCCTGCTCCTGCAAGATTCTGTCTCTTTCCCGCAAGACTCTGTCCCTTTCCCGCAAGATTCTGTCCTGCAAGATTCTGTCCCGCAAGATTCTGTCCCGCAAGATTCTGTCCCTTTCCTGCAAGATTTAGTCTGGTTTCCACAAGATTCTGTCCCTTTCCTGCAAGATTTAGTCTGGTTTCCACAAGATTCTGTCCCTTTCCCGCAAGATTCTGTCCTGCAAGATTCTGTCCCGCAAGATTCTGTCCCTTTCCCGCAAGATTCTGTCCTGCAAGATTCTGTCCCGCAAGATTCTGTCCCTTTCCCGCAAGATTCTGTCCCGCAAGATTCTGTCCCGCAAGATTCTGTCCCGCAAGGTTCTGTCCCTTTCCTGCAAGATTTAGTCTGGTTTCCACAAGATTTTGTCCCTTTCCTACAAGATTCTGTCCCTTTCCCGCAAGATTCTGTCCTGCAAGATTCTGTCCCGCAAGATTCTGTCCCTTTCCCGCAAGATTCTGTCCTGCAAGATTCTGTCCCGCAAGATTCTGTCCCTTTCCCGCAAGATTCTGTCCCGCAAGATTCTGTCCCGCAAGGTTCTGTCCCTTTCCTGCAAGATTTAGTCTGGTTTCCACAAGATTTTGTCCCTTTCCTACAAGATTCTGTCCCTTTCCCGCAAGATTTTGTCCATTTCTCGCAAGATTCTGTGCATTTTCCGCAAGATTCAGTCCCACAAGATTCAGTCCTGCTTCTGCAAGATTCTGTCTCTTTCCCAGAAGATTCTGTTCCACAAGATTTTGCCCCTTTCCTGCAAGATTCGGTCTATTTTTCGCAAGATTCAGTCCCACAAGATTCAGTCTCGTGTCTGCAAGATTCTGTCCCGCTCCCACAAGATTCAGTTCTATTCCTGCAAGATTCAGTCTCGTTCCCACAAGATTTAGTCCTACTCCCGCAAGATTCTGTTCTGCTCCTGCAAGATTCTGTCCTGCTTCCACAAGAATCTGTCCCACAAGATTCAGTCCCATTCCTGTAAGACTGTCCTGCAAGATACTGTCCCTTTCCTGCAAGATTCTGTCCCTGTTTTTCAAGACTCAGTCCTACTCTAAAAAAATTCTGTCCCTTTCCCACAAGATTCAGTCCTGTTCCTGCTAGATTCTGTCCTGCAAGAGTCTGTCCCTTTCCTGCAGTATTCAGTCCTGTGTCTGCAAGATTTAATCTCTCTCCCACATGATTCTGTCCCTTTTCTGCAAGACTCGGTCCTGCTTCCTTATGATTCTGTCCCTTTCCCACAAGATTCAGTCCCACTTCTGCAAGATTCTGTCCTGCTTCTGCAAGACATAGTCATGCTCCCACTAGATTCTGTCCTGCTCCAGCAAGATTCAGTCCTTCTCCGACAAGATACTATCTTATTCCCGCAAGATTCAGTCCTACTCTCACAAGATTCTGTCCCTTTCCTGCAAGAGTCACTCTTGCCCCCACAATATTTTGTCCTGCAAGATTTTGTACCTTTTCTGCAAGATTCTGTGCCGCAAGATTCCATAAGATTCTGCCCTGCTCCTACAAGATTTTGTCCCGTTCTCATAAGATTCTGTCCTACTCCCGCAGGATTTAGTCCCATTTCAACAAGGTTGTTCCCTTCCCGGAAGATTTTGTATTGTTTCGGCAAGATTCAGTCCAGCTCCTGCAAAACTCTATCCCACTTCCACAAAAATGGTTTCACTTGTTTTGAAATTGTAAAATTCTGAGTGAAAGATGATAATTTCTGCTATTTTTTTTGTTGTTGACCAGAGAAAGTGACAAAAGTGTGTGATGCAGATGGCCACTGGTTTCGCCATCCAGAGAGCAACAGACTGTGGTCAAACTATACTGAGTGTTCAGCGTACACTAAAGAGAAGCTGAAGGTGGTGCACAACATACACTCAATACATATACAAACACACACTCATATACACATACATACACAAACACACACACACACACACAGACACAGACAGACACACGCACACACACACACAATACAAACAAACATGCACAGACAGACAATAAACACAGAAAACAAACACACGTGGACACAAGCACACAAAATACACAAAGTGCATACACACTCACAAAACAAACACAGACACAAACACATAATACACACACATGCACACACATTCACTTATCTGTATATAAAAACAAAAGAAGTCTATGTCTTCTTTAATACGGCTAAACGTGTGTGTGTTTGTGTGTGTGTGTGTGTATATGTTTGTGTGCATGCATGTGTGTGTGTGTGTGTGTTTGTACTGGTTTTGGTGATTTACAAGTACACAAATGTATATAATGATGTGTATGACTTTACTTACTCTGTTAAGATGGTTTATAAGGACATGTCTTGTGTCCTCGTGATTTGAAACGCTTAAAAGGCACTAACCTCTGTGTGTGTGTGTCTTTCAGGTGACGTATGTGATGTATTATCTGGCGATGGTGGGACACGTTCTGTCCATCATTTCTCTGATGATCTCCATAAGCATCTTCTCCTACTTCAAGTACATCACACACACACACACACACACTAGTACTCTTAAAGGGATAGTTCACACAAAAATGAAAATATCCTTCATTTACTCTCCCTCAAGTTTAGTCTATAGATGAGAAATATATTTATGTGCAAAACTGTAAGATTGCATGAAACATTAGAGAATGAATCAGCTTCTCCATCCAATGAGAAACAGAATAACCTCCTCAGCTCCTGCTGCTCCTGCACAGATATCACTGAGAGCAGTGGAGTCTGCTGCACTGTTGGGATTCTCCACTGTGCTGTTTGTTCTCCTCTAATCAGTGTACCCATATACCTGAAGCTGTGAGAGTTTTTTTTTTTTTTTTTTTGCATTGTGACGCAGTTCCTAGAGAAATGTAAAAACAGTACACATGGCTTGATTATTATTTTTTTACTGCCAGCTGATGGGATGTAGTAAACAAGGTTATTATAGTTAACAAAACAAACAAAACAACGAATAATAAAATGTATTTTTGTTAACCGAAATAAGATAAAAACGATAAAAACTGAAAGTAACTAAAGTTTTAGCAAAAACCTCCTTCATTTTCATCTTTGTAAATGTATTTAATACATAATCTTACTGTAAGCCTTTTAGAAGTAAACCTATTTACTTCGCACTGCAGGTGTTTGCGCCGTATGGCACCTCAGTGTCTGTAATCCTGCTGCTATTGGCCAGATCGAGCCATAAGTCATCCTCGCTGTTGCTCCTGTGACAAAAACAATGAGTGGACATGACAGCAGCACGGTGACAACATTAAATACAGAGACTTAAATCTATTACTTTAACACATTTGTGCCCAATAATAGGTCTCATTTCTGTATTAGTGATCACAATCACGGACAAATCGTTCATTTTAACCGGATCTTCTAAGTGAACCGGTTGAACTAGTTCACCAAATCTAACTGAATCATTTGAAACGATTCGCGTCTCCAGTAATGTTAAGCATTTATCCACAAACAACTTACTTTTTAACATGCCTGATACACCCGTCTGACTCAAAATAAACCAATATATCCTGAGTTATTCAGTTACTAGAACAGTACACTGAGATCCAATTTGGGAAGTGGAGAACCGATAATACTGTGCATGTGTGATTCAGTGAACCAAACACAAACAGTACATGACAGCCTGCTGTGACAGAACTAGACTTGAACAACTGCAGCGTTTTAATCCAGGGCTTAAATGAGGGGATCTGGCCAAACGTACGTTTATTTCAGAACAGAAACTCGTAATGTATAACTCGTAATTAAATAAGTGAATCAATCTTCAGTTGGATTGCAAAACGTAATTGTAAGACACTTTTCAGATCATGGTGATGTTTTTCAGACTGAAATTCAGATTGCTGACACATATTTGATATGTTGAGTCCGAACATGGGAAGATCACAAAAGATCCGGTTTGCATTAAAGATCTAATCTTCTCATCACTACTGTGTAACTAACCTCAGAGCAGCCTTGCACACATATTGTACTGAAGGCTGCTGTCTTGTGGGCTGCTGTATTTGAGTTTGAGGATGGGTAGATGGTAGTGGTAGATAGTAGTGTTCATATGTTCTCGGAATACATGTTTCAGAAAATGTATGGTTTAGCTTTTGTTATACAATATTTATTTTGTTTATTTTAAATATTGCACCTAACAAATAGCTTTATACTAATATTGAAACTAATAAAAACTAAACTAAAACTTAGCCATTTCAAAATATAGAAACTAATAAACACTAGTAAATCTCCCTCTAAAAACTGACTGAATTTAAACAAAAAAAAAGTTTAAAACAAAATAAAAACTAAAACTAATGTAAAATCCAAACCTATTATAATCTTGGTAGTGAAGTAGGCAATTCATTCAGAAAGATGAGGAAAAAGGAAAAACAGACTCCTCCTCCTCCTTATTACTGTTTGAGATGTCAAAACTGAAAGCTAAAAGGGGCGTGGTTAGGTATGTTAGCCCCGCCCAATACCTCAGACAGACCTAATCTGAGTGAATAAATGTAAATCTTCATTTATGAGTGAACTGCCCCTTTAAGAGATAAATAAATAAATAAATAAATGCAGACGGTGTTAAGGGTGTTGTCTGTGTGCAGGTGTTTGAGCTGCCAGCGCATCACGCTTCATAAAAACATGTTCACCTCCTTCATCCTCAACTCCTTCGCCACCATCGGCTGGTTTTACTTCGTCATCGGTGAGCAGCAGACCAGGACTGACTCCGTAAGAGCAAAACACACACCTCACACACTCCTTGGTAAAATGTAAATGTACTTGCAATACTTTACCCCAACACAGGACACAACTCTAATCATTCAGCGGAGTGATATGGAGCTGTAATGCGCTCTAAACCTGCCGGAACTACTTTGCCAGAATCATGGCAGATATAAAAGAAATCAGTTATTCGAAATGACTTATTAAAACTATTAAAATCTGTTCTTCTCTCTGTTAAAACTTAGAAAATATGTGGAAAATAATAAAAACTTTCACAGGAGGATGAATAATTTTGCCTTCAACTCTATATAATCTCTATATAATCTGATTTAATAAGCCACCATGACTGGTACTGTATGTGTATCTAAATAAGTGTTTCTAAGGTGTGAAATGGCGTGATGACGGTATGAACGCATTGCTAAGTATGTGCGTCTGCTGTTGTGTTCAGTCTCAGGTGGGCTGTAAGCTGCTGGCCAGCATCATGCACTACACCTTCTGCTCCAACTACTTCTGGATGCTGTGTGAAGGCATTTACCTGCACACACTCATCATCGTGGCCGTGTTCGTCGGAGAGCAGCAGCTCGGCTGGTATTACATCCTCGGATGGGGTACGACACACAAACACACCTGAGATAATAAGACTCCGGCACACTGGGGGGATTATTACTTACACTCAGGGCCGGAGAAAGCGGAACTGCCGCTCTAGGCAAAGGACGGTCACATTGCCCTCAACAATAAAGTGAAAATCAATGGGGGGTGGGGGGGCTCTATTCTGCCGCCCTACGCGAATATAACTGAGGGTGCGGGTGGTGAGGGTAGTGTCGGGGACACCGCTCTCTCTATTCTGCCACCCTAGACGCAGATATAACTGAGGGCGCGGGTGGTGAGGGTTGTGTCGGGGACGCTGCCCTCTCTATTCTAAGGCTCCAGACGTGGATAACTGAGGGCGCGGGTGGTGAGGGTACTGTTGGGGACGCCGCCCTCTCTATTCTAAGGCCCCAGACGCAGATATAACTGAGGGCGCGGGTGGTGAGGGTAGTGTCGGAGACTCCGCCCTCTCTTTTCTAAGGCCCCAGACGTGGATATAACTCAGGGCAAGGGTGGTGAGGGTAGTGTCGGGGACGCCACCCTCTCTATTCTGCCGCCCTACGCGAATATAACTGAGGGTGCGGGTGGTGAGGGTAGTGTCGGGGACACCGCTCTCTCTATTCTGCCACCCTAGACGCGGATATAACTGAGGGCGCGGGTGGTGAGGGTCGTGTCGGGGACGCCGCCCTCTCTATTCTAAGGCTCCAGACGTGGATATAACTGAGGGCGCGGGTGGTGAGGGTCGTGTTGGGGACGCCGCTCTCTCTATTCTAAGGCTCCAGACGTGGATCTAACTGAGGGCACGGGTGGTGAGGGTACTGTCGGGGACGCCGCCCTCTCTATTCTAAGGCTCCAGACGTGGATATAACTGAGGGCGCGGGTGGTGAGGGTCGTGTCGGGGACGCCGCCCTCTCTATTCTAAGGCTCCAGACGTGGATATAACTGAGGGCGCGGGTGGTGAGGGTCGTGTTGGGGACGCCGCTCTCTCTATTCTAAGGCTCCAGACGTGGATCTAACTGAGGGCACGGGTGGTGAGGGTACTGTCGGGGACGCCGCCCTCTCTATTCTAAGGCTCCAGACGTGGATATAACTGAGGGCGCGGGTGGTGAGGGTCGTGTCGGGGACGCCGCTCTCTCTATTCTAAGGCTCCAGACGTGGATATAACTGAGGGCGCGGGTGGTGAGGGTCGTGTCGGGGACGCCGCCCTCTCTATTCTAAGGCTCCAGACGTGGATATAACTGAGGGCGCGGGTGGTGAGGGTCGTGTCGGGGACGCCGCTCTCTCTATTCTAAGGCTCCAGACGTGGATATAACTGAGGGCGCGGGTGGTGAGGGTCGTGTCGGGGACGCCGCCCTCTCTATTCTAAGGCCCCAGACGTGGATATAACTCAGGGCAAGGGTGGTGAGGGTAGTGTCGGGGACGCCGCCCTCTCTTTTCTAAGGCTCCAGACGTGGATATAACTGAGGGCACGGGTGGTGAGGGTCGTGTCGGGGACGCCGCCCTCTCTATTCTAAGGCTCCAGACGTGGATATAACTGAGGGCGCGGGTGGTGAGGGTCGTGTCGGGGACGCCGCTCTCTCTATTCTAAGGCTCCAGACGTGGATATAACTGAGGGCGCGGGTGGTGAGGGTCGTGTCGGGGACGCCGCTCTCTCTATTCTAAGGCTCCAGACGTGGATATAACTGAGGGCGCGGGTGGTGAGGGTCGTGTCGGGGACGCCGCCCTCTCTATTCTAAGGCCCCAGACGTGGATATAACTGAGGGCGCGGGTGGTGAGGGTCGTGTCGGGGACGCCGCCCTCTCTATTTTAAGGCCCCAGACGTGGATATAACTGAGGGCGCGGGTGGTGAGGGTCGTGTCGGGGACGCCGCCCTCTCTATTCTGCCACCCTAGACGCAGATATAACTGAGGGCGTGGGTGGTGAGGGTCGTGTCGGGGACACCGCTCCCTCTATTCTGCCACCCTAGACGCAGATATAACTGAGGGCGCGGGTGGTGAGGGTAGTGTCGGGGACGCCGCCCTCTCTATTTTAAGGCCCCAGACGTGGATATAACTGAGGGTGCGGGTGGTGAGGGTAGTGTCGGGGATGCCGCTCTCTCTATTTTGCCGCACTAGACGTGGATATAACTGAGGGCACAGTTGGTGAGGGTAGTGTCGGGGACGCTGCCCCCTCTCTATTCTGCCGCCCTAGATGGCCGCCTAGGTCGCCTCTATGGAAGCGCCGGCCCTGCTTACACTTAGCATCAGTTTCTTTTTTAGAGGTTTTTCAACATTCACTTTGAATGACTTTAACTTGAAAGTTACCTGTTTAAACTGTAACTTCAGCAGCTCAAAGCACACAAACAAAAGCTCCAATTTCATTGGTTGGCCAATTTTAATACCGTTTTTCATACTGAAAATACGAGCCAGAGACTTCAGCAATAATCACAGGAAAACATTGTCCAGTCTATAAACGGCAAAACTAAATATTTGTTTCATATATATAAAAGTTGTATAACTATTCCCATAATCCTAATGTTAATGAGACAGTATTTGCCCTTCTGCAGGTTTCCCAGTGATCCCCGCTGTCATGCACGCTGTGGCACGTCTGTTTTATCACAATGACAGGTAAAAATGGTTAATATTTAATTGAGAGATGTGGAGGAGCATTTAATATTTAATTCTGCTATGTGTGTGTGTGTGTGTGTGTGTGTGTGTGTGTGTGTGTGTGTGTGTGTGTGTGTGTGTGTGTGTGTGTGTGTGTGTGTGTCTGTGTGTGTGTGTGTGTGTGTGTGTGTGTGAGACAGGTGTTGGGCCAGAAACACAGATCTGCTCTACATCACACACGGCCCAATATACGCCGCCCTGCTGGTGAGAATCTCATTCAGAAATCATTCCTTGACGAGAAATATGACATGAAATCAAGAGTCACATTCACTGCTGGATAATTGTGCTTGATCTGAAGTGCACCTGTAATGCAAAAATGTGTGTGAGCCGTGTGTGAATATCTCCAGCAGCCTCTAATGCTCAACATGAGTTAATTGTGCTTGTTGTAATCAGACTTGATGAAGGAAACACTGTGATTGACATTCTCTCTTTGTACGTGTCATCAGAGGGGGAAAGCCCCGCCCACTAGTGCCCATCTCTCCATCTCATTAGCATGTCCAGCAGCCCTGAATGAGAAGCAGCCGTCTGTCCATTCGCCATTAGAGTGTTTGAGCTGCTGAAGATGATGTCAGCATAGACTAAGAGGATTATAGATGTGGAGTTCTAGAAGAACAGCGACATAGACTGAGAAGCATCACGCACACACGCTGAAGCACACATGACCAGCACTGACAACACACACACTGCTGATTTACATCTGTCACTATGAGGATGTAGCTCCGCCCTCTTCTTAAAAGAGCACAATCTCATTTGCATTTAAAGTGACAGTCACCCTTTTAGGATCAAAGCCTGAAAGGGTCAGAGAGCTGGAGAACATGATCTGTGTTATTTTCAGCTCAAACTCAAACACACACACACTCCAGACACAGCAGAGACACATTTACAGCTTGTAGAAAGATGCATAATTTCTGAAAACAAGCCTATATGTTGTACTTGTCTGTAAAATGCTTCTTGATTTGAGAGTTTTGAGATATTTGGACTAGAAAGGAGACGCAAGCTCTTCTCTGCAGTGTAGTGTGTCTGCTCTTCCTCCGTCAGGTGAATCTGTTCTTCCTGCTGAACATCGTGCGTGTGTTGATCACCAAGCTGCGAGTGACGCACCGCACCGAGAGCAACGTGTACATGAAGGCGGTGCGGGCCACCATCATCCTGGTGCCGCTGCTGGGGGCGCAGTTCATCCTGGTGCCGCTGGAGCCGAACGGACGCATCTCACGCGCCATCTACGAGCTCTTCATGAACATATTCGTGCACTTTCAGGTACGCTTACGAGAATTAACTCTAGAGCTGACGAGGTGGACATTTTGACCATGTTTACATCTTGTAGTTGAGTAACTTGGGTCATTTTCGTTCACTGTGGCTGATTTTGAGGCTTAATTTGGCCACAGTTCTCTCTCTGTGTCAGCGTATATGATGATGTTTCCAGACATGTCCTACTTTGACTCATATTTTGGGAAAATGCGTTGACATTTTTCAAAACCACAACAACACGCTCTGTTCAGATTGACTCCCCTTTGGTGATGTTGGGGCTGTTTTTGCTCCATTGACTTCCATTATAAGCACATTTATGAACTGATTTAATTAGCAGATGATCATGCATTCTGGATTGATGCTGGTTTTCCCTGTTGGGATTAAGAGGGACAATCTGTTAACACAAGAACACATTTTGGCCATATGCCCACAGCCATATATCACCCTGCAGCCCAAGACTGGTTACTCACTGAAGCTAATGCCTAGTTCACACTAGAGGATTTTAAGCCTGATTTGAGCCCGATTTGGAAGTTAACAAGCTCGCCGACAGATGGTGCGGGAGCTCGGCGCTCTTTATGTGTGAACTACTGAACAAAGCATCAACGAGGCTCGCTGACGCGTCGCCGACACCTCGCAGACGGAAATCCAACATTCAGCATGCTGAATATTCCAGAGCAGTCGGCCGACTCAACCCCACGTGTGGTCTGATGTAGTGACGAGCTGCAGCCAATGAGAGAGCAGATCAGCATGAGCTGAACGCCTGTGTGTTCAGGAGCTCAGCAGAAACATCTGTGATTGGTCAGAATGGGCATCGGTGCACTCGCTTTATTCTGCGTTAGCACAGACATGAGAGTAGGCTGTATTAACAGTGGAACTAGAATTCTGTAACTATTAGAATTACCATACTGCTCATTCTGACCGTTCTCATATAAACGCCATACTGTCACAACATATTTACATTCAAAGCTATTATTGAGATATTAAAATTAAGCTTTGAATGTCTGGCATCATATTTAATGACACCATTACCCCGCTAGTAGCAAAGAATTCTGGCCCAGATTTGGCATGAAGCTGGCACAGCAGGCATTCATCTGGCACTGGCATACAGCAGGTGGGCCAAACATGGCCCGGGTTTGGCAGAGGTGGCACCGTCTTTAAGGCGGCACACAAGATTTGGGCCAGATGAAAAACGTAGTATTTGGCCCAGATTTAAACATTTGAAAGTGGGCCATGTGAGTTTGGCCAGTCTTGACCCACATTTAAAATACACTAAAATCAATTTTGAGTAAAGAAAAAAATACTACCAATCAGGTCACTTTGAGAAAAACGTGCCCATAGTGTGCCTAAAGCGCATCACTCCATGGGTTTATCAATTTCATTGCAATCGTGACACACCAACCTATCTGGCCCAGTTCAGGCCCAGTTATGAGTTATTAACTTGGCTGAGACTTGGCCCAGATATGGTCCGTGTTTGGCCCTTGTCTGGAAGCCAGATTTGGTCCAGTCATGTACCGTAATTCACTGTGGCATGTGGGCCAAGCAAAACCTGATTGTGTGGGCCAGAGCTGGGCCAGAGAAATTTTGCTATGTGGGCCTAAAAATATAATCTTTTTCTGGTAATACAGCCTATAAATATGTAGTTAAGATACTAAAACACTTAAAGGTCTTGGCTTTCATTTTCACTTACAAACAGGAGCTATTTAACAGCACAGAATAAGCTGTTTTGAAAGATATCTGAAGTAAATTGATGTTTTTGCCATCAGTAAGTTTTGTTTATGTTAGCAGGAAGTTGCCAGGCAAGAAAATGCACACATATTTAAAGTCACAGCGAAAAGTATCAGACATGCATGCAGTCATTTTGACCAATATAGTAATTTAAGGCAGAAATGCTCAGTTCTTTACTGTTTTGTAATAAAAAAAATAACAATGTCAGAAAGAAATACACTGATAGTTAGAAAACGGCAGGGTGTTATAAATATGTTAGTTTTATTTCAAAGAGTTTTAAAATTACAAAAATTAAAAGCTCTCTGTGTATCTATCCACTGGAACCTTGAAGATGAGTGATTAATCCGCTCATAAATCAGCTGATTTGAAGATGTTTTTAAATGCTTTCTCCAAAGCTTGAAACGCTGTCAGTGATGTCATCAGCACACAAGCAGCCAATAGTGTTCAGCCTTTTCTGACGACTCCTCCCTCAACATTTCATTGGCTGTGGTTTGGTAGCTTGAATGAGCTGTTGGGGAATGAGTTGTTGTCAGATCATGTAGTGTGTGACCCCCCTCTTGTGGATCATTCACAGAGTGTCGCGTAGTGTGAACACCACAGAGATCAAAAGACACAAAGTCAAGTCATGTAGTGTGAACGGCACAGCGATCTGCTGATGTTTAAAATCCTGTAGTGTGAACTAGGCTTAAGCAGGGCTGAGCCTGGTCAGTATCTGGATAGGAGACCACATGGGTAAACTAGGTTGCTGTTGGCAGTGGAGAGGCCAGCAGGGGGCGCTCAACCTGTGGTCTGTGTGAGTCCTAATGCCCCAGTATAGTGAAGGGGACTCTATACTGTCAGTGAGCGCCGTCTTTCAGATGAGGCGTTAAACCTGAGGTCCTGACTCTCTGTGCTCATTAATAACCCCATGGCACTTCTGGTAAAGAGTAGGGGTGTAACCCTGGTGTCCTGGCCAATTTTTCTCCATCATGGCCACCCAGTCACCTCCATCCACTGAACTGGCTCTATCACTGTCTCTCCACTAGGGTTGTGTATTGTTTGGGTTTATTTTGATACCGGTGCTATATCGATAGTTTTAAAATGGTACCGGTGCCTGAACCGATACTTTTAAGCCACAGAATTATGGTGGACGACTCTAGAAAAATCTTTTATTTGACAAAATCTTTTAAAACATAATTTTAATAGAACAATACAATTAAAGTTTAAAGTAAACATCAGTTCATATTTTTTATATTTGAATTGCATTGATTTATTTGCTTTGATCACTTGCAACAAGCTGAAGGAAAGTTAAATATTACTGAAATACCATCCATTTATTTATTTTTATTCAGATTTAAATGACAAAACGGTGGTGTAAGTGTTAGTGGACAGTGAACATGCTGCAGTACAGTGTGTGTTATTGAGTGTGTTTATGTCTCTCCGCAGGGTCTCCTGGTGGCTGTAATCTTCTGCTTCTGTAATGGAGAGGTAACACTTTTTATATAACTATTAAACCTCCTTAATTAATCTCATTCATCTTCATTAAAGCACATTTTGATGAGGATAACCCACCGAGGAATTGAAGTAAAATATCTACTACAAAAGAAAGCTGGACGCAGTGCTGAAACTGTGCGAAAATGTGTGTGTTTGGATGTGTACATACAGTTGAAGTCAAAATTATTAGCCCCCTTTGATTTTTAAATATTTAAATAACATTAATAATTATTATTTATAAATAATACATATTTTAATGTTTAAATATTTACCAAGTGATGTTGAGCAGATTGAGGAAATGTTCACAGTGTGTCTGATAATATTTGTTCTTCTGGAGAAAGTCTTATTTGTTTTATTTCGGCTAGAATAAAAGCAGTTTTTAATAGTTTTAAAGCCATTTTAAGGTCAATATTATTCGCCCCTTTAAGCTTTATATGTTTTTGATAGTCTACAGAACAAATCACTGTTATACAATAACTTGCCTAATTACCCTAATTACCCTAGTGAAGCCTTTACATGCCACTTTAAGCTGAACACTAGTGTCTTGAAGAATATCTAGTCTAATATTATGTGCTTTCATCATGACAAAGAGGAAATAAATCAGTTATTAGAAATGAGTTATTAAAACTATTATGATTAGAAATGTGTTGAAGAAATCTGCTCTCCGTTACACAGAGATATATATATATATATATATATAGTATATACTATGCAGAAAACATACTTTATTTTTATTGTGTGTACTAACACATGCTATTTAAAGTACATACTATGCAGAATACAATTTGCCTAAATTTTTTATTGCACATTCCTTCAAATGCTGCAGTACAAAATTGTTGCATATTGCTATTTAATAACAGGTTGGTGTGTGCAAACTATTTCTCAGTATGCAATGTATACTATGCAGCGAACAGTGTGGTAGTTGAGAAGAAAAGCAGTATGTTGGTGTCTGACAGGTGTTTTGGTCCTGTAGGTGCAGTCGGCGTTGAGGCGTAAATTAGCGCAGTATCGCAGTCAGTGGAAGCGGCGGCGTCTGGTGACCACCGACTCTCACTGTAACTACCACACTAACTCCTCCATCACCGAGACCAGCCGCGTCACCATCAACCTCGAACCGTGCAACAGCACAGAGCAGAAAACACACGCTGACACACACACGCTCAACGGACAGAGCAACGGCACACGCTACGACAGACAAGAGTCGGACAACTGCGAAACACTCCAGACGTCTGAGATATAAGAAAACAACGCAACACACACCACTCCGTCCCACCACGCACACGTATTTATTAGCTTTGTCGAAAAAATAATAAATACTACAGTGTTTTATACTATTCTATAGTAAAACATTCAGATAAATCAGTTGTGGGGATTCTGTAGTTGCTCTGGTAACACAACTACTATAGTAATTAATCTGTTGGGATTCTATAGTTGCTATGGTAACACAACTACTATAGTAATTGGTCTGTTGTGGTGATTCTATAGTTGCTATGGTAACGCCACATTGACAACTACTATAGTAATTAATCTGTTGTAGTGATTCTACAGTTGCTATGGTAACATCATCTACAGTAGTTAATCTGTTGTGGTGATTCTACAGTTGCTATGGCAACATGATTATAGTAATTAATCTGTTGTGAGGATTTTATAGTTGCTATGGCAACAGGATTATAGTAATTAATCTGTTGTGGTGATTTTATAGTTGCTATGGCAACAGGATTATAGTAATTAATCTGTT